TGTGGTTTGTTAATTATATTACTTAACTGGAAATACAGATTCGTTTATAATTGTTGCACTAGGCCAATCGCAGTTTTTATCGATTTTGTTGCAGAAATCAGAGTTTTGTTATGCATCAAGATTGACGTAATGATTGATGACATGAAAATTTCAAAGTGGTTTAATAAAAAATACAAAAGAATTAATGCGGGTCAGAAGTATATGTAAGTAGGTAAACAGGTAGATTTTATTATAATACAATATCAATTGTGAGTAAACAGCAACTTTCATTTTCATCCTTTCATGAACAAAAATTAGCAGCTTACCATAGTATGTTCCATAGACTCATCTTCAACTGGAACATCCTTAGCAAAAGACTATTCAAACAGGTCATTAACAAGAATATCCCACATCGAAAATAGTACTAATAGCAACAAAACACTCAATAAAAAATAAAACAACAACATGTCATATAAGACAGGTCATATGAAGAGCGAGTCAAACTTTTCAACACCTCGATAAGTGTTTCGATCACCAAGTGATCATCTTCAATAGGAAGAAGAAACAGTTCAATCTTCCTATTGATATAAACAAGAAACGGCAAAACCCCAAAAATGTTATCACAGAAAGACTCAAGTCAATCTTCTGATCGTTATCATTTCTAAAGCACCCCACTGATGAATAATTATGTCGAATCTTTCCAGATAATTGGTGAAGAGCTTAGTGAAGGAAGCGTTCAAACCAAACAGTCGGACATCAAAGACCCTATTGCCCTACTTCCACTTGCAAACGCTTTGAATGTATAATCGTTCGAACCATCGGAGATCCTCATTAATTAAGTAGGATAATAATTCTACCGTTATTTCACAAACGGAAAGGATTAATGGAAGTGAATAAACGTAGACTTCAACAGACGAGTTTAAGTTATTTATAATTGAAGAGTTTGTCCTGCAAATGAGTTTGTCGACTGTGTTAATGACAGTTTTGAAGTAGGTATTTGAAGACATTTCTGATGATGGTTTGTGTTTTAATTATTTGACATAAATGAAAGTTGAAAGATTCCAAAACAAGCACTTTTCCTAAACATCGGAACTGTAATATTCTTCTCGAAGCGCGTTTTACCAGTTTTCTTTATCTCTTGAAGTAGTCAACTTGGCTGGTGTTTGAAAAAAGTTCTTTTTTGGATTCATTATACTCGAAAAGTTCTAGTTTTACCTTTTATGAAAAAGGAAGTAATAGAAACTTCATTCTTACGAGTAAAATAGATACTAGAAGAGGAACAATTGGATATGACTTCGAGTTTATACATCTTGTAGTTTAGAGCACAATGAACAATTTGAATAATTTATAATATATAGTGAGTATCAAAGAAAAATATTTCTGATTTATTCATAGAATATCTTTATACAATTATTTTCATTCCTTGCTCCCAATATGCTACAATTTCAAGTTAGCCAAGTCGAACAAAACAAATTTGTTATTGCTTTTGCATCATTATTTAAATAATAACGTATCTTATATCTCCCATTTTTGATGTAGTTCATTAAATATATGTATATAATATATGAGTCTATAATTCTCTATCAAAAAGTTTCATCCGTTGAACTCTTAATTGAAGTCAACTTGAGAATCTCAGAAATCTCATCTTCAAAACAACCAGTATCTAGTTTGTTTCTCTTTCACATCGGCATACTAGTATAAATAAATGCTATAATTAATAATTACTAACAGATGGTGTATGCGGGTCATTAATGATTCTACTACTGAGACAATATTGAATTTCGTTAGTTTGATATATCTTACATCACCTGTCATAAACCTTAAGCACCGAGTGTGGTGAATCTACCAATTCAATCAATTATAATACGGAACTTTCTTTCTTAGACATAAAAATCTTATCAAAGTGAATTACGTCGACGCCTTACACGGAATATAATTATAAAAACCAAAAATGTTAATCCCGTATCAATTATCATCAATCTATTTGTTGTAACCGTAACAATAACTGATGAAAGACTACGAATAAATACCACAATATATGCTAACAGAAGTGAAAGTTGACCCACAAGAAATTATCACCGAATGGGTTCAACGTGTAACATTGATTGAGAGGTCGACAAATTGCGTAAAAATATTGGTAAATGTAGTAATATCAGCTTGTGATGGTTAGTGAGGTGATGGTTTGATCTTGCCAGTTTAAATTTCAATATTGAAAACGTAGGCGTCGATTGTTGCACAATAGTTTTTCCATTACTATACATTTTCTTTTGGAAATTTTTCTAGTTTTCATAGCCAACAGAGTCAATAAAGATTTGATCATTCGTTTATTCAATTTCTAAATTTTTCGTAAATGAATTATTCCATTTTGAATCCACAAAATCGAAAAATTTCCATTTTGCAGCGAAGGCCGCGAGTCTACAGATGAAACGTAAAAGTAAACCTTCAGAATTGAGCTACCTGAAATATATCTGCTGACATACTGGCAGTAGTCGTTGTTATTCGCTAAACTCAGTAAAAAAACGCAGCAGAGTAATTTAACCTTACGTTTTGGAAAATCATAAAAGTATATAATTTCTTGATGAAGAAATGAAATCCTCCAGAGGATTCACAAAACAAAATTTGGGCCTGGCATTAAATAGCAGTTCTGCATAGTCTTATGAATGTTTTATTCTCTCTTTTCGTTTATTTATTTGTTGACCTGTTCGCATAAAAACGAATCATGTCAGGTGACAGAGCAGACCACTTTGAATCACGACGTTTGCCTAACCATAAGTACTGCTAATCTTACTCCGAAGTAATGCCAACCACTGTAATGAAGAATACACTATGATACTAGAAAAACTTTCAATTGGGTAATCAACTGAATTCGGTGTAACATTATACTATACCATAGCATATCGAGATATAACATTCTCTTGCATAATTTTGAGCTGGTTTAATAAATAGCAGCTTGGTACAACACCTGTGGATTTTGTTTGTGGCTTAGAGAAACTCTTCAAATTATTTTAAATTCACGACTAGAGGCCTTCAGTGCTTGAAAAACATTGACATGCCCTACGCACGTGATATTGAAAATCCCAAGAATTGGCCAGGGTCGTATCAACATCAACATCTTGTTGATCGCAAATATACTTGGGAAAACTTTTTTATAATAACGAGTGAAATGCACAAGTTTTGCAGTTTAATGGGAAAAATGCAGATAATATGTGTAATATAAAAAGATTTTCATTTAAATACTCTCTCCTCCATAACACAATTTCCTCTCTATCCAATAATAAACTATTGCGCCCTCGTTTTTTCCATACAAAATTCAAATGTTTCAATACTTTATGGAATGTTGGCCGCTCAAAACTTGGCAATAAAACATCTTCATTTATTTCTGTGAGTACTTTGTCTATCGTGGATAATTCATTTCTGAAAAAGTACTCATGCACTTTCCTTCTGATTGCATGTTTATCAGAATCATCTATTGATTTTATAATGGTTTGACTGATTTGTATTCGATTTAGAAAATGTATGATTTTGTTTATATTCCCGTAAAACTTTGACCATCATTATTAATATTTTTAGGGGAAGAAGGATAGTCACCAATATGATTATGAGTTTCTCTTCTGGAGTAAAAGTTTTTCAGAATCCTTCGTTTTTATATAAACTAAGTGGTTACTAATTCTGACTCACGCACGGTTTCAAAAACATCTTAGTCATATATTATAGTTCATATCTCGTATCGTAACTACAGAAGGCTAACTACAAAAATATATTTCAAAAAATGAACCTAGGAAACCTTCCGTCCTTCTGAAAAAAATGTGTATGTCCTCTTAATTCCAAGCGAATCATTTTCATGCCATATTACATCTAGAATTACTAAAGTGGAATTTTATTTGTAGACAGTTACTAAGAAAATAACCATTCATCGTCGATGACACATAAGTCGGAGAACATCCTAACTTATAAAATATATATGTACGTTTATTCTTTACCGATTCAATGTAAATATGCATCATTGTATCCAGTGAGCTCGAACGCATAGTATTTGCGTCATTTATATACCTATTCCACCAGTCGCCGCATGTGAAACATCGAAGGCCGATTGTCTATTGTCCTGGAATGTACAGGCGTTATTGAAGTTCCTTTTAATTAATTTATAATGATTGGTCATTAGAGAAAAGGTAATTAGTGGTAACAGAAGACAATAAACAGAATAACGAATATTTGTTTAGAGATAATCTGGTCTACTTTGTTGTAGTTTGTTGGGTATTATTATGACTAGATTATTGTGGAAACCGGAGTTCAAAGAGAATGAAACCCATGTTTTGATACAGTTGATTCAGTCTGGAAGATTATTGCAGAAATGCAGATGACCAGACAAAACAATCTGTCCTAATTCTGCGCTATATTCTGAAATGTTTATCGAAATTCCTGAAATTTAGGCTGTCATAATAAATAGTTTTCTCGCCATTTTCAGATTTAAAACGTTTTTGGATACTTTTACATTATTGAGGATCTAAATTACAGTTCAACATAAAAAACACTTTCACTTCCTTGAGTTTTGCTTTCCTCAGAACCGAATTCAATAGAAATGATTGCCAAATAAAAAATATTTCATCTAGATGTGAGGTTGAAAATCAACTTTGGAAACTATGAACAGAAAAGTTGTTTTTTGATCTTCCTTTTTGGGAATTTTCACCATTTATAATCGGGAAAAAAATTGATGGAGAACTTTATACAGGCATAGAAAAGATAAACAATCAGTTGGGAAAAGCTTTACAATCATACCCAATTAAGGAAATACAATTGCTTATATCAAGTAGTCCTGCAAAAGTAATAATAAATAACTTGGCATTGTTGCACTACTGAGTCACAGTCGAACATAACCTTAAAAGGCGAACTTTCACGGTTCTGGAAACTGCTGGAGAAAAATACAAATGGAAACTGTTGTGTTATCGAAAAGTGTGGCACAAATCGGGAAACTATCAGCGTATCCAATCAAAAAGTATAATAAGAAGTTATGAACGAGATACCTTGTGTATGCATCCAACAATCGACAGCACGAGTAAAATCCTTGAAAAACTGTCACTTTTCGCGTACATTTCGTTCGGGTTTTCGAAAACAAACTAGGAAATATTCACTAGATTACGAATATCACATGTTAGTCCCACGAATCGTCCCAAATTTGACAGCGACCGCGCAGTTTTCTTCGAAATAACTTACTAACTGAGCGATGAAAGTTTCAGTTTGCAGTCTGCCGCACTGTTGAAATCTTCAGAAGACAGTTTTGAGGACCCTCACCTGTGTGGATGCTCGCAGGTGGGAAGGCGGGAGTCGATATTTACTTCTGCGGCGTGCACCGTGTTGATTATGCTCCAGAGAAATTAGTCAATTTTGTGATAGAAGTGAGGTTATGGCTATTGAAGGGTAGTTTTTTTATTTACTCAGTAGTCCATGCCGTTGACACCGAATAAAAATCATTGAAGGATTATTACTTGAAACCATTAAAAAATTTGAAAAAAATCTGTTTTTCCGTTAACCAGCTGTTGCTCCCCCTACGAACGATAAGTTGAAACTTGTGCGAGGTAAGGATTAAGGAGGCCTTATATTTTGACGTGTGATTCCTAACATGGGTTGGATGATAGTAAGTGAAAATCGACCGTCCAGCCTCGCGGTTTGAACCACTGGTTCACACAGCGGTCGATTAAGTGAGTGGAGTAAACCACCCACATTAACCCACCAGGCTACCGTCCTACAACTGTTTATATATTTTGAAAACTGAGATATGTTTTATGTTTCCTGATATTTCAATTATTTTTCCGGAAATTGAAGATAATTGATGAAATAAATCCGATATAAAACTGCTTGTTTAACAAAATTCGTAAAAGTAGAATTTCACATAGCAACATGCTTCATTATCAATGATTTCATGTAATAACTAACCAGAATATGGCGATTCATATTGGAAAGTATGCGTTTTGGAGGCCAATAAAGACCACACATTCGATATGGTCGAAAGAAATTGCAAGATTCAGGATTCATCAAATCATAGATGAGAAATATTCAACATCACACGTTAAAATTGAATTATTGTTTGTGAAATATTTTATTTTATGAGTCTTCGAAAATATTTCAAGTTGTATCATTACTCTACTTTTATATAATTTCAGCTCACTTACCGTTTCAACAAGTTAATATCATACCACCCACAGCCTAAACGGTTTTGCGGTTCATTCACTATTTATTTGTATTGTTTCGTTCCATTAATTTTATATTCTTTGAGAACACGTGAAAAAGATATTATAATCTCTTACACCAAGAATGTTAGAGAGTTCAGTTCTCTAACAATTACTATTTTTAGGGTAGGTTACTGCATTTCCTTTTCATATATTATATATTAGATCTGACCGAAATGCAGAGCAATATATCATGTCAAACTGTTTCTAGATACCCCAAAATTATCATTTGTGAATGTCCACTGGAAAAAATATGCCTAATTAATTATGCTTTATTGATTAGAAAAAAAGGATTTTGGCTTTCCACGTCTCCATCTTCATACAAAAAAGTGGAAATGTTCCAAAGGAAAAGGAAAGCAATTAATTTCAAAACAGACTCTTCACAAAAATTGCTGCACAATATAGTCTCGACATTTCCGTTTGTTTTGACTAATTCAACTGGAGTACGACAGGCTTAGTGGGTTTGGCTCTGTCGGTTTTCTGTTGGATACGATTTTGGACCCTAATCTTTCGTGTTATTCGATAACTCTTCAATAGGCATTTAAATTGATGAAACAAGTACTCATAAATGAGATTGTTGGAGTATTGTTAACTGTTAGGGTTTTGTTTTGTAGTCTGGTTTGAGTCACTGTAATTCCGATGGGATTCATTACATTACTAGTTTTATTTGCATTTTTTGTAATGAGTATTGAATAAGAATGGTACAGAATGTTTTCATTTTTAAGTTAGCCAGCTATCGTTTCAAATGGAAGTATAACATCGGGAATTGTTAGAGATGAGGATTAACGAGGTCTTACGTTTTAACGTACAATTTTCAGCCAGGGCTGTAAACTTTCAATGGCATTACAAAGAAACTGTATTACTGTTTCGTTCAGATCCAGAAATGACGAACACTCAATAGAACAACGGTGTGAAGTATCGCGAAGTCACATCGTCACCATGACAACGTATATTATCAGGATTCAATAATGATCGAGAAAAGTGACATTACATCATGATATTTTTTCTGTTACTGGCTTCATTGGAAATCCGACTAAGATATAAATGTATTTTCCGATCGAAATGAAAAATAATAAAAAAAAATAGTAGTCAAGTGTCACATTTTTTTACAAAAAAATACTAAAGTGAGGTTATTTCTCAGTTTATCAAATGGAGAAGAGTATTTCTAAAGGGAGTCAAAAATTATAACATTATTAATAAATAAAATATAATTTTCACCAGAAGGAAATACTATTTACAGACGTCAAAACGTTACAGAAACGTCATAGATGTATTTTTAATATGTTTTGTTTTTTGTAACTCAACATAGGTGAAAAATGCTTCTTGTTTTTCAATTTAAATGAACTCGTATCAGCCTGAAACCCGAACAAAAATACATCATCAGTCTCTTATATTACCCGACTTCAATAAATAATGAATTATTATCAGGGAGCTCCTCTTTCCAAACAGTTTTTTATGTCACGGACAATTTTCTATTACTCACGTCCAATGTATCCCGTTTTGTTTTCCAAAACTACCCGCGAACGACACTAGAGGGGATGCGTTCCATTATCGATTAACTAGTTCCCAATTCCCCCGTACCAGGGCGCAATTGTCAACTCCCTTCGACCGCCCGACATTCAGTTGTTTCCGTACATTCAGCGAGATCTAGGAATCCGTGATATTCCCAAATTCGTAGGTGAATTCAGTGACTAATAAACGTCCGAACGCTCTGCTGATTTGTAAGTAGATATGTGACTCACAATACTTTATTTGCAATAGTAAGAATTGCCTATGATTTAACGAAATATCTAGTGGAAGTTGCTTGTGCAAAAGCCACTACGGTTCAGTGCCTTCTTTGAAGTCCTGACTCTCAGGAATCTCTCTAGGATCTCTAGATATCCTGTCAGAGGGAATAAAAGGATCACTCGATCGATAACAACTTTTTTCCATTTGTAATATCCGTCAGGGTGTTCTAAGCACACGGCTCTTATTGAAATATGAAGTGGGTTTAGTATCTGGAATCGGTAAGTATCTATCCTCGACCCTTTTTTGCTTCCTTTCTGGTATTGGAAAGGGATTTACTTGTTGTTAGCCTTGGGTGATAAGGGTTTTCTTGTTGATAGAAGGATTTGAGCAGTCCTTTTGGAGAAGAAAAAATATTATTCTGGTGTGATGAAGGTTGGATCTTTGGTATTTGATAGATTTTTTTTGTTTGACACTACGTAAGACGTTTTACAGGAATTGTTTTTCCCGAAAGATCTTGCCAGTGATTTATGACATCAATATAAATTACATAATTTTACGTTGTACTTCAAAAAATTATTCAAAATGAACGAATGAAAAATATATTGATAGGGAGTAATTTTTTATTTATCTTGGTAGATAATTTATATTGGACTGTTGCAACTGTTGTGTGGTGCATATAATTTTTATTATCGGATCAAAAACATCTCCTGTTACCTGACACCGTGTAAAACACTCGTTGGATCAGTCCCGTTTGAGACCAAACATCATTTCAATTTGTTACTGAATCTGGCTAGGTTCTGATTGCATTTCTTCCAGCAGAAAAATGTAAAATTGTACTCCTGCATAACTTTTACAAATGATGTATTACATTTTTTTGTAAGTGGAGTGATTGGCAAGTCTCAGTTTTTTGCTTAGTTCTTCTATACGAACCAAAACACACCAACAAATTTGTTCAAATTTCTGAAAAATTGAGTATGGAAGGGGCTCTCAAAACTGTTCGTATACCTCAACAAGTGTTGGACCAGACCAGACAACAATAAAATATGTGAGGATTGAAATAAAAAGTATGTTGGCCAAAATGAGTGGACTGTAACAGTTCGTTACATGGAACATTTTTCAAATATTCGGTTCTATTGACCAGAGAAATCTAGTGTTGCTGAAAATGCCATGAAGAAAGGCTACAAAATAAGTGAGGAATGCTTGAAATGGCTGACACCGGTACTTGAAAACAATTTTTTAGATGCCTTCAATAGTTAAGAAATCGAAAAATGTAAAATAAGATCTATGAACGGTGACAAATATTCCATTCCTAACAGCTCTTTCATACGCTCGCGTAATCACAGATAGAAAACTGGTTGAATTTAGGTGTCAATCAGGTGGTAAATAATACTAGGATTATACAGAAAACACTTGATTGATTGAAAGAACTTCATTAAGTTAGATAATGATTCGACTAGATACATATACAAACATTACCATAGCTGCATCTGTTTGTTTTAGTTGAACTAGAAATAATGAGGTTGTTTTCAACTGAAGGAAGATACTCGAAATATTTTTGAGACTTTCTAATGAAACACCAGAACAGCTATGAAAATAATTCATCTATGATAATTCATGATTCTGACTTGAAATGAAACCAGGTCATCCAATTATTTTTCAACAAGCTCGCTATTCTGAAATATACCTTTTACTTATCTCATGAATTTTGCAAAGCTTCTGACAAGATATCCAAAGCCATGTCGAGCTGCCAACCGACATTCTTCTCCCTACGGAATAAATATTTTGAATTACAAAGCATGTCAGCAGCATACCTGAAAAGCCCTATTTATCACAGCAGGAATTTTTTTCAGAGAATCTCATCGTTTTAAGTGATGTTCTAAAATCGTATATTCAGATTTAGATGGTTGAAAATACCTGCCAGGCTTCCTTTCTTTCTCTGTTTCTTCTTGTTTCTTCAGATTTGTTAGCTCTTGCTTACTTGAGTCGCAATAAACTATATTCGAACCATTTTCAATACAATGTGAATCCGTGAAAATAAATTGACTGATTTCCCCCACAATATGTTACAACAAACATTTTCAACACTGACTAATTCTGAAGTAGAAGTAGAAAATGATTCGAATGTAAAATATAATGACTTCTTCAAGTTGAAAGATAATATTCCAGCCAATCCTGATATGCTAATTGCTGTACAATTTTTTCATAAATAACTAGACGGAACAATCAAAGGCTAATGATTAATCTGATATATTATTCTCTCTTTCTTTTTTTATAAGGTAGACTAGCTTCCCCAAATTCGATTATGTAACAGGAAAAGGCCCAAGAGACGGTGATATTTTCAGTGGGAATCAGTGAGAAAAGCTGAATAGCTTTCTTGAGATATATGACTGCTGAATATAGTTACTCTCTTTTCCTCTGGGTCCTGTTAACTCCCAAATATTCATTTTATTTTTCGCAGGATCTCTGTTAATGATCCTGGGAAGTATTTCTGAATCCCACGACAAAATCCAGAGGTGAAGACAGCATTCGGAATATCTTTCTTGTGCTTAACTTGCTCTATATCCTAGCTCTGTACACTGTTGAATTCACAAAGGCTACAAATATGTATCCAAAAAAATACACATTCAAGAAGAAAATTCCTTTTCTCCGGATTTATTTTCCTTTTTCTGACAAATTCAGTGAAAATTAACAGTAAAAGTATAGAACATTCGACATATCTCGAAAAGAGTCATAGGAATAATCAGTTGTCTCCCGCAATGTGATGAAAACGATGACAAAATTGGAGGGTTGGCAACTTTTACAGGGTGTTACAGCACTGGAATATTTTTGACAGGTAATTATAATTTTCGGAATCTAATAATTTTCAGATAGTTCACATAAATTCTGAAATTTGGAAGTTTTTTGAGTTTATATTCTCGTTTCCTCTTGATCTACGGTCCCAGGAATTTATCAAATTTTCATAGGCTCCAGTATCTGAAAGAAGTACACACCTCATCAACTTTTGAAGATTTATAAAGCTCAGATCAGACCTTTTTTGAAGTAGTTTTTGGAGCCAGGGAAGTAGTGGATAAATCGAAGTTCATTCAGAAATATTTCTTTTCTCAATGCGTACGTATGATTTAGTAAAATTCGCCCTTTTTCACTTGTATCCACTTTTCTCCTCTAAATTATTTTGCAGCCGTGACAGAAAACTGGAAAACTAAAACTTTTACTGATTACATTTCAAATCTTGTCGGAAATCTAATCGGGCAAGTTTAACTTGAGAACAAGATAATTCAATTTCCAGAATGTAAGACTGGTTTAGTCCGCGTCTCTGCAAGAACAGAAACGCTTTCATTACAGACACTTCACATTCAGAAAAGACAATTCGCATCCCTTTGAAATATCGATGTAATCCTGCAAACTCCTTCAATTCTATTTCAATCGGTGTGAATTCTGCTTTTGACAGGCGACATGTTTGGAAGGAGGGGAACTTTCAAGACTGACAATGTAAAAGATAGTAAAAGATATTCGATAGCTTGATGAAATGTTTGTGAATTTAGTTTTAGAATAGAATTCTGGTCGATCTCTCTGTAAATGAATACAGTGATTAGAGTATAAGATATATTTCCTTTTTTCACAGTTATGAATTTTCCAGAGCCACACTTGGAAAAACCGTTTTCATAAATATCTCCCTAGTAGCAAAAAATATCTCAGCGTTATTTTCATCTCCAGCGACAAAACTGCTTCAAAGGACTCCTTAATTCTATATGCAATGAAATTGTACTGAAACTGGAGGTCAACAGTTCATAAAGGAACGTAAAATTCAATACTTTATTTGAAAAAATTATGAGCCATCTCAAACAACGAAAGCTCAGACAATTTTCCATGACACACTTGCACTTGAGCAGAATGAAACCCTTTCAGTATACTTTCATGAAAATACGGCATTTTACTCCTTTGTCGGAAAGTAGCAAAGGACTAATTAACCTTTCATGTTCCTAGAATGGAGCTATACAATTCCATTGTATGTATTATTCGCATCAACTGAGTGGCGGGTAAAAGCTCACTCTCTGCTTGAAAACTACAATTGAAACACCTAAATTGGATGAGTCTCATATAACGAAGCTGCATTTTGGTTATTCATTTGTGCCATCAAATTTCTTTTTGGGTTTGTTAACTCATAGACCTATTTTCAATTAACGTATTCTAAAAACACTTTATTGTGTGATTTTCACTAGATAGTTTTACAAAAACGCAACACGTGTTTCGCCATACAATGGCTTCCAGCCGATCCCATCATACTACTTTCAATTTCTCGAATACTACATTGATTTCCATGGAACTACTCCATGAAAGAAGTGTTTTTCAGAGACAAATTTCAAAATTCTGAAATACTAAATGTGACAGATTAGAATTATTTAAATGTGAATGGAACTATTTCTGTCGCAAAAATTCCACATGAATAATTTCAAAAATTGTAGATTGACTTTTCCGGAGCTTCTGAAAGAACCAACCATAAATTTTTATTCGCAGAATTTGATGCATAAGAAATTGAAAAATGTATAGAATGACAGTTTCTTTTTATGTGAATTATTCAGCCATTTCACGAATTATCGGGTGTACTACAGAAGTCCCATTTTGATCCAGCATCATTAGATTTTTTTATGAGTCACCTGAATTAATTTACAAAAAAGTTCGATACAACATTGACCTTAACATAAAACAAATTTCAAAAGTTTCGGAATATTTTTCATCAGTCCCATTGAAAACATCCATTACCTATTTATTATGGTACAATGAATAGGAAAAGATATTTTTGATAGGCTCATATTTGAACAAATCTTGTTTTCATTAAGAGAAAAAATAATTATTGACCGTTCAACATTTTATCGATTTTCATCAATCCTGTGCATAACTTGTGAATGAAATTATTGATATTAGTGTGGTTCTCATATCTATTCGCTCTATTATTCCCCCGTTACATTTCTTGTTGCAAAGACAATTTTTTAACTTTTGACATTGAGTTTCATGAAACTCATTGTAGAATGCGTTTCAGATGGATTTAATAATGTGTAAATTGTTTCATCATCATGAATAGTATAATCAATCCCCTATAATTTTAAATTTTTCAGAGAAATCCAATCGTTCCTTCTCTGCGACCCCGTTCCGTGGTGCGTGATCCTAGAGGAGCCCCCCGAGAGCCGGCAAGATTAGCGAGTGTGGCAAATATTGCGGCCCTACAGCCAACGGCCCCACCATTTCGTTCAGCAGCTTCCGACAGTCCTTCACATCGAATGTCAATTACCTGAAGAGGCGCTTCAGCTCCGGGGACCTGTCTTCGGAGTGCGAGGACGGAGATGCCCCGGTCGACCCCTACACGAAGCCTCCCGTCACGTTGCAGCCCCAGGTGAGGTTTCTATCACGTTTAAGTATAACTTCCTGTCGCGGCGAACTTCATACCACATTAGAATTAATGAAAGTTACGCTTTTAGCAGGGTTCTAATAACTCATTTGTATTATGTTTGTCAAGCACACGGCCGGTGTTGCCAAGTCATGCTTGTAGTAGTGAATTGATATAAAAAACAGTAGAAAATACATTATATAGATTCATACTAGATACATGGAAATTTCCACTATTCAAAATCATGAAATAATTGTTATAAAAGTAAACTGAGTCATCAGAAATTTCAACTCCCAAACAGTACAACAGTCGAAAGAGAAAACAGCACGTCTACTGCAAAAATAGTAGACCTGGCAACATTGAACACGACGCTCTTATAGTGCGACTTCTTCTTCATCTGCGGTGAATTGATTCGCATTTTTCCACAGTCTAAATGCATTACGGCTATTTTGTAAAAGTTTCGTAGTATGTAAATAATACTGTAATGTCTACTTCAACATTTTATGAGCTGAGGGAGATGCAATTTCTTCTGTGATAGATGAAGCAATACAAGCAAGTGAAGCTCACTCTCAGACCTATCCCAAGTATCGATTCCATAATAAATGAACTTTAAAATTCAAGAACAAAAATTATAACAACAAATACATCCACAGATACTCTCTATATTAACATTATCGAAGTAAACATCCAACAATGGGCGTATTGGAGACAATCTACAAGGATCATGATGTCAAATAATCATTCTGATATCTCAAATGTCGTGAAATGGTATCTTTAGAGCCGTACACTTTGCTAGAATCAATACTTCGGGGGCTGTAGTTGGAGAAGTTGGGGAGTTCGGAAGCTGGGGAAGCGATAAATTTTGTGACAATCGGAATCTTCCACGATTACAACTGAAATGCTACGAACAAGAAATGGAATCGAAATTTCGAACCGATTGTATATTCGAAAAGTAAAGGAAAGACAAAAGGTAAAGCACAAATGGAATTACAAGAATCAGGTTCATGAAGCTATGTTACAATCAGAATCATTGTTTTTTTCCGAATCGAAATTTATAGAACCTTTCTCTGTGAAAAATTAAATGAAACGTATCGTGCTCAACAATATTGCGCAAGGTGACCGTATTCACGTGTCCCCAAACACATAAAGCGGAAAACAATAAAGAACCAAATCATTATCTCACACGGTATATCTGATATATAANGTGATTGACAATGTTTCGTGATGAATTTCACTAGTTCGGACTTCCATTGTCTACTATATAAAATGATTTGAAATCCCTGAAACAAGTAAATAGGAATAATTAAAAAAAGAATAGCTGGAGATAACAATTATATTAGGCAAACAATAAACATGAAACGAAATGATAGTAACGCTATAATTTGGCGAATGAATCGGGAACAAATTTTCAATATTTTGGCGAAAGACACGGTTTTTTCACTTTTTTTTCAAAATAATCGGTTCCGTTTTGTATTATTCCATTATCCTTCTCTCCAATGCAGAGAACATGAAACGAAATCCTCAGTCAAGTTATATTTAGAGCTTATTTCATAACTTGGCTTGAAAAATCAACAAAACCAAGTTTTCTCTTTCATGGAGTTCAAAAATTTCGATGCTATAATTTGGCGAATGAATCGGGAACAAATTTTCTATATTTTGGCGAAAGACACGGTTTTTTCAATTTTTTAAAATAATCGGTTTCGTTTTGTATATCCTTGGTGGAGTTATATTTTCCAGCTTACTTCATAACTTGGCTTGAAAAATCAACAAAACCAATTTTTCATTTTTACGGAGTTCAAAATTTTAACGAAATGATAGTGACGCTATAATTTGGCGAATGAATCGGGAACAAATTTTCAATATTTTGGCGAAAGACACGGTTTTTTCATTTTTTAAAAATAATCGGTTCCGTTTTGTATTATTCCATTATCCTTCTCTCCAATGCAGAGAACATGAAACGAAATCCTCAGTGAAGTTATATTTTTCAGCTTACTTCATATCTTGGCTTGAAAAATCAATAAAACAAATTTTTCATTTTTACGGAGTTCAAAAAATTCGATGCTATAATTTGGCGAATGAATCGGGAACAAATTTTCTATATTTTGGCGAAAGACACGGTTTTTTCAATTTTTTTAAAAATAATCGGTTTCGTTTTGTATTATTCCATTATCCTTCTCTCCAATGCAGAGAACATGAAACGAAATCCTCAGTGAAGTTATATTTTCCAGNATAACGGAGAAAAATGACAAATATTCGCATCGTTAACCTTATAGAAAGTTCTCTATTTCATTCATTTCAGATTATGAAGGGTAAATATACCCAAAAGGGAATGAACTCTGTTTTTTGCTACCGAAAACAAATTTTCATAGGATATGTTTCATATAAATAATATAAATTCATACTGGCATTGAAAAATTCAAATATTAATAATGGAATAAATGATACACATTCTCTTGCAAACAGTAAACTATGTGTGGAACGAAGTTCTACACAGCAGGATTTACAAAAACTTGATAGCTTATATCTTGCAAGATATTACATAATTACATACTCTATACTCTATATACTCGATTCACAAAGTTGGGGGTTCTTTAGCTGTAGTATAGTGAAGTAGTAAAATAAAATTATTGAAATTGACGGTAAAAATCGTATATGAAAACAATGCTTTCATTCTGTTCTAGGCGCCGCCTCCTCCACCACCTTCGCAATCTAGCACCGCCTCCGATCTTTCTCTCAATCTCCGACCCAGCTCCAAAACCACTTCTGCTCCCAGTTCGCCTGCTAAGTCAAGAGAAAGCCTTCTTCAACGAGTTCAGTCTTTGACGGGCCAGGCCAGAGACCAGGGAGCCTCAATCTTGGGAGCTGCAGTGTCCAGCGCTTCAAGGGTAACGTCATCGGTGAGCAGACTATACTTTCTTGAACATATCCGATCTGTCCACCTGTATCGATCTCTTGAAGTTCCGGGATGAAGTTTTTATTCATCATGAATGTGGTAATTTCTTTTCAGGTATCAGGCAGATACCTCACCCTTCTCGTGATAGACGATCAGAACACCGATTGGAGCAAGTACTTCCGAGGAAGGAAGATTGGAGACTATGAGATCCGTGTTGAGCAAGCAGAGTTTAGGGAAATCACAGTGACAGCAAATAGCGACTCTGCTTATGTTTCGATGGCTGTTATCAGAGGGGGTACTCGTGTTGGAAGATCTTTCAGACCTGATTTCTTGTTGGTGAGTTTCAAAGGTTTTTCAAAGGTTGATATATAAAAAATCTTGATATAGATTTCACTATCACAAAAACAACCTCTAGAGGATGTTTTCCTTAGTGGAGAGTTATTGGTTTCATACCAAACACTGCTCTATATTTTGCACTCCACTATTATAGATTATTCGATAGGTACATTTTGAATCTACAGAAAACACTATCCTCGCACCAGAACAAAAACATTGCGCGTTTCGTTAACCCAGTTAGCATCATCAGAAGATGATGAAGACTGAGTTTCTAAATCTTAAATGAGTATATCATCTCAGATAATGTTAGTCATCAAATGAGGTTCAATGAGTGAATTCTTATATTTTAGTGACTACCTGTTGGTTACCAAATATTTATTTGTTTATTTGCTACTATGATACAGTATGTATATGTGGTATGGTTTCAATTTTTAATTAACACGTAGAAGAGTGAACAACGGCTTGTTTGGGATGGGATTTTTATCGCTGTTCGTAGATCTCGTTCCACATTTTTCATTCACTAAATTCCAGAGGCCTCTAAAAACCTGCTGTCATGTATTAAATAACAATTTCGAAATTGTTTTACTTATTCTGTAGTCGTTCTCTGAAGAATTGTGTTCCTCAACATGCAAGAAACAAATAACAAGTAATATGAAGAAACAAATTCATAACAATTCCCTCAAAAAAAGAAAGGAATATATACTGAAGGAAAAATATGTTTTCTGTCGGGAAACAGACGCTGAAATTGATAATTCATTGAGAACGATCTATATATCGAAAAATCAAGGAACCCAATGCCAACGAAGATTTCAAAAATTTGAAACTATGCATTTTGCAACCTATTATAATTCAAGTGTCCTCAATTCACAGGGATTCTTTGAATGTTGCGAGATGGGGAGATTTTGGTGTTTTGAAGTATCTCTGATAGGTGTATAAGTTTTCTCGATAATATGCCTTTGTATCAACTGTTGATACCATCGACGTTTCTCAAAAATTTCTTATCCACGTTCACAGTCATTATCAGTTGTTTCTGATAGAAATAGCATCGAAACTTTCTGATTAATTTCTGACTGAATAGTTCAATACATTACTCTGGAGTTTTTCTTTTACTCATCTAATGTTGGAGTGAGAGAAAGTTTCGAATTACTTTCCAACACATTAACATATTTTCTTTCACTAAACCAGCTCATTTTCAATTATGGTTCGAATTCTATGAAAATATATGGCCTTCCATCGCTTCGTTTTAGAAAGTATTCGAATATTTTCTATCAAGTGAAACACAATAAGTGAAATGACCTGAATTGCATAGGGTCAATTTATTAATAAAATATATTTGTACATCCATTCAATGAACTTTCAATGAACAATCATTATTAGGTACAAAAATAAGTTTAAATACTACAAGCGTCTACAAAAAGTTAATATATAAATATGAACTAGATGTATATACAAATGCCAAAACTGGAAATCCGGAAACAAATAAAAACGGATATGTAAACTTTCCTAGACTTTGCCTGCTTTACGTATTTTCAAAATAATACCCCACGGCATAGAGACGAATTCAAATATATCTTAAAGGAAGTAACTGCAACTGTGGTCCTGCGGAAGTTTGCAACTCCGACAATTTGATGGGTTATTACAAACTCGACCTACTTATTTCCAACTTTGGCCATTATGCAAATAACTTATTTGCACAGTGTATTTCCTTTGTCGTTCTAGGTCAGACAGAACTTGAAGGATGCAGGAGAGGACCACAAAAATCTCCTGCTAGCGTTGAAGTTCGGAGGAGTTCCAAGTATCAACAGCTTAAACTCCATTTACAACTTCCAGGTGAGTATACAAGATTGAAACATCGAAAAATCAAAATTGGAACTACTCTATGGGATTATTATTCTTAGTCCATAACTTTGAGAAATCATGCATGCTGCATTATCTACTTATTGTAAAGAGTAAATGAACTAGTTTTCGCAAGTGGAATACATGAAAATATGTTTACAAGATGTCAGATTTTTAGAAATTCAAATTCATGAGTTATCCTATAAATAATGAACTATGTTAAAAGCTTACAAAATAAATAACAAATACAACATTCAACAAAAATACCATATCAGATTCACAGGAACCAACAGAATTGAACCACACTTTTTTCTCTAGGATAAAACATGGGTTTTTGGACATCTCGTCCAACTTCAGAGGCGTCTGGGAAGAGAAAACTTTCCTTTGATAGAACAAACTTACTATCCAGATCATCGTGATATGGTAAGTTTCTTTCGTTCAACTTGAATAACAAAAACAAACAATACATCATACCAATTCGACATTATAGAGTGAAGCATTTTACATCAATTTATTGGGCGAATTTCTCATGACTTATCTGCAACCTATATATAGTATGCATCTATTTTGAAATAGAAACTATTTCTTCTTTGTGTATGAAGAAAATCTCTCTGAAGACAGATGGGGATTTTTGTCTTGAACATGTGAATCAAACAATACATTTAGTAACAATTCGCAACATTATGTTGAAAAAAAAGACGAGTTTTTGCCAAAGGGTCGTATACCAAAGGATCATTATACCAACTAAACAATGTTGTCGTCCGCTAAAAAATAACGTGTATCAGTTATGATGTTTCTTAAATATCTGTCAAAATTATTAATGATTTATGTAACTGCCTGCATTACTTATTGATTACATTTTCATATCGTGATATTCAACTATTGTTGTCCTAATAGCTGGAATCATTATTGAATTTTTATAGTGAAACATTTCCACTCTGGTGAATTTTATCAGAAAATCTCATCAATCAAAATGTTCAGAACATTTTTGTGCACTCATGCAACTGCCTCCAGAAATAATATCCAGAATTTCTAAGCTCCTTAATTATGCCTAATTTTCTGTAATACAATTAAGCAAAGTGGAAATGTTTCACTAGAGAAATCCAATAACGAGTATTAATTTACTAGATACTATATAATATATACCAATGATGATTCCACATTCGCCTCTTGAAGATACATATACCCAAACGTTTGCTCTATCAAAAACTAGAAATCTGTACCCAAAATCCTCGCTGATATTAAATAACACATTTACACGTATGTACAATAGAAGAGATAATTTTCTCCAAACGGTATGAAAACTGGATCAGATCGTTCATGGATCGAATATTGGCTTACTGTAGCGATGGTAGGCATTTAATTTCATCGTTCTTCGCCAATCCTTTGTGCATTTGGACAAAGCTTGAGTCCTGGCCCATACGCAGGCTTTGGGTTGTCGGAGGCATATGCCCTAAAAAATTAAAACAGAAACATTAGATAATGTAACTTTGATGAAGTTCGGGAAATTGGTAAAGTTTTAATGAAGCCCCTTTCTAAAAATGCAAGTGAAAAACGGTCAGAACGTGATGAGGTAGCGTTGATGTGAATAGCATTATTACAGACAACGTCGAAGAAAGATTTTTAGAGTGTGAAAAATGTTTGTTGATAGAGAAGAAGCAATATCCGCGTAAGGAATCGATTGTCTTAGATAATAATAAAGGTTTGTATTTTTTTTGATACTATAAATCGCCTTGCTTATATCTGCAATTTTCAATGCAAGGCAACCAATCGAAAAAGGATGCCAATAACAGAGCATTCTTTCCAATACCATACAGCACTGTTTGAATCTACCACTGAACTCATCAGTGATGAGGATCCTCGTTCATCTTCGATGAGCAAGATTTGAGTTTAATGTCTTTTAATTTTGGAGTTCCATATAGCAAATTCTATTTATATCTAAGTGTGTTATCTAACATAAGAATATCGCATTGTTATTCAATTTCAATGAAGACTTACAATAATTTGAATCAACTAAAATGTTATCACATTACTAACGCAATCTAAAGAAAATTACAGAATGAATAAGACATACACTATGTTCAAACAACTAGGTTGCTTTTGTAAACGCCATCTCTTGATAAACTTTTATGTTAATGTCGATGGGTAAGGAGTCAAACATTTTTTGGGTTACTTTTTATACGTTTAAATAGGTATATTTAAACGAATATGACGCCTGATATTGAAAATAAATAAATATTAGGTAAGTACATACATGAAATGAAATGGTGCCTTAGGCTATATAGAAAATATTCATAAAGAGAATGACTATAGGACTTTAAATAGTCATGATGCTTCCTAGGTGGTTCGGGGAATTATTGACATATCCTACCCAGAACACGACTCAAAGCCAGCCGATGACGTTGACACCAAATGAAAAAATCAGAGTCTTCCTGTGAATACCTGTGGTTCTATGATGGTTCTACTGGTTTTACTGATTGCTTTGAGTTGAACTACAGTTTACAAATAACCACGCAAATAACTGTGTGAGATGCATTTTGCTTTATAGCTTACTTAAGCAGAAATACTGATCAAAAATGATCACTTGATCACCATTTCTATTTTTAATGCTTTCAAAAGATAATAATTACGATCAAAAGTTATTTATTAAGTTTTTCGTAATTTTTGTTCGATTATGAGAAACTGAAAGCCAAAAGGCGTTTTTCGATAAGAAAAACGAATGTATCCAAAAAATATTACCTTTTCAATGTCAATCAAGAGATAATATTGGCGCTTTGAACCACAAGGGCTAATATTCAACGTTTCCGTTAGAAATGAAATGGACGTTCGTTTTTCATACAGATATTGGGAGAAATTTCAGAAATACACTTTGTATTTTGAAATAGATTGCATGTGCTTAATCGGTAGCAAAGGTACCTTCCAAGCAATGAAAATCTCATGAATTCCCTAAACATTACCCGTACTATAGTATAATTCACCACTATTCTTCGTTTCAAAATTTCTAATCAAGTATAATTCCTCAAGAAGACAAGGGAAACTGACAATTAGCAACCCCGACCCCAACAAATGGTTCTACGAGCGAAATTAGTTCAATTTTCCCACGCTTCCGAAATGAAACTCAATTACATCAGACCCGAAAGGCCCGCAAGAAACTCTTGATGCGGAGCGATATAAACGGGAATCTCACCTCTTTCTCCTCGCAATGGCTCCTCCAATTGCAGCTATCCCTCTGATGATGGCATCTTCTCCCGGGAACGCAGTGTTGTATTCCACAGGAACAGCCGTGGCCGTACAACAGTCTCAAGCCCTTCCTCTGTCGTCTAGTCAGCGATTCCCAGGGCATGATCATGCCGCACATATTCACGTGGGCTCTCAGACTGAAGATTCTGCCTGGAATAACGAAACGTTATTGAATTTCCATGAGATTTGAAGGTTGAATGGGACGCTATTGGTTTTGGCACTGAAACGCCAGCTGGCATAGATATAGTTTTTAGTTAGTTACAATTCATTACCCAGGATATATGTCTCTGGCATTTTTTCATGCTGAGTTCAAGAAAGTTAATAAAAATAAATCCCATATACTTTGTTGTCACTATATATTTGGGACTTATTTGCACTTGTTTTATTTTCAAACTCACCTGAGATAACGTATAGCTTGCCAAGTTCCAGTTGTACGCCACACATTGAATCATACATGGGAGTGTTCAGCCTTCCTGATTTGAGAGCCAGGACGCCCTTCTCGGAGACTTTGAATTCTTTTCTCACACGGACTTTGTATACTTTAGAGAATGTTTGGTTGAAAATCCTTTCCCTCTTGACTCGAGCCAAAATTACTGGAAAACACGAGAGTAAATCACTAATATAATCAGGTTTTCTGACATAATTATCATTATGTATTTCATACAATGTCGCAATGGTAATGAATGAATTAAATTACTCCCACGAAGTAAACTTGATGGAATATTCAACTTTACGGTGGACGAATAAATGTGTATAATGAAGAAGAAAATTATCAATAGTAGCTAGTGATGAATATATTGTTAATAAAACAATGATGATCATTCAAATATTAATCAGCTTAAAAAAAATAGTTCTCTATGTTTCTCGAGTATCCACTTTTGTTTTTTTTTTTAATAATGAACGCATTTTTGCTTATATTGCTCGGTAAATAATCATAAAAGTATGATACTTGTATCGGTCTCATAACTGATGATTTAACATCAATATTTCATCAAAACCACTGATATTTTAGTTTTCTCTGATCGACCTTAATCTGTTTTCCATCGGCGAAACCTCAAGTGCGCCTTGAATACGCAGTCTCTAGTTTTTATTTGCGATTGCAAATAACGTCAGCGCATACCCACACGTAATTCCAAAAATATTTTCGGGTACATGCATCTCCGGTGAGCAACGCAATCATCGATGAATTCGAGATCATGAAATAAAGCTGCGTGGGAGTTTTGTATGGCCTGTGTCCTGCTGGCGGATGGGTGTTGTTGGAACTGATTTGATTAAGTCATTGGCGTGGTGGGCAATTTCGAGAAGAACGTTCGGTAAGCGGTCTAGATTTGTCGCGAAACATTCCGAATTAACGTACGAAAATCTCGCCCACTCGACTACCAAGCACTAAACATTTTTGTTTGAAACGGCATGGATTTTCATCGAGTATCGGCCGATTTCATTACATATTATTATTATCATTTGAATGACTTCACTGAGACATCGTCATCAAGAACCCCGTCAAGCACTGAATAATATCGGAGTTTTGACCCATTTACCTTCCATTGTCATATCGGTAGTTGTTTCGTGAAATTATTGCCAATTATCTTTGAAATAATGGCCCATTGGAAATGATTATTTATATTCTCGACTTGCTTGAAATGCGAATCCACCCATACCTCAAATGCGTTGTCCCATTTAGTTATATCATTCATGACAGCGATAATGATCCATTCAAATGATGCAGATAATGAAATGTGGTTGTCATGAATTAGAATCTGTTTGCGATATGTGTATCCGTTGTCACACAATATTTCCGAAAGATCGAATGACATGCCTGAGGGTTTCGATATCGATAAAGATTGAAACAATGAAATTGCACAGGCTTGATTCGATAAAAAAGCAGTACGTTACACAGAAACGGAAAAGAGGACCTAGAAGAATGATACATACTTGAAGTAATTAAGTCGAAGAAAGAAAAAACTGATTAGAAGTTTCTATAAAAAGAGAACGAATACATTTTGGGAGAAACAGAGTAGATGGCTAGACACAAATTATATTATTAGGTGAGGATTTCACGGAAGACAAAAAAATATCACTCTGAGATACACAAAAAGTACTAAAATGCACCAAAGATAATGTTTATATTTTAAGAAGACCGATATAAAACATGAATTGATTGAATATCGTCATAATTAGGTTTGGTAAATTTTAATTTTTCTCAAAAAATATTTATTTACTCATTTCAAAGTAGTCCTCCTCAGATATACTATACTTGTGCCAGAATTTTTTCCAATGATATGAATGATATGATATGATATGATTTTTTTGGTATGTCTTTGAGCACTCTCAACCTCATTTTTTGAAAAATCGAGGTATATATTCCTAAAAATTGTATAAACATTTCCTGTCAGTTGAATGTTCCTACATTTACAAGTTAGAGGTGTTAAAATTAATTTATTTTATGCTATAGCAATCTTTGAGGAAAATATTTCTTCGTGAATATTTAATCAATTCTTCTTCGAATGAATGAAACCTGCAAAATTGATTACTTTGAAGCTTAATGTACAAAGTCAAATCCACTTGGCAGTAAACATTTCTCCAATACAACCTCAGATGTAATAACATGAGAATGCGAATAACCCCTGTCAATAAACAACGCTCGACATAAAAATGTTTAATAGAAAATATCAAAGAGCCAGCTTTCAACATAAATCACAAGGATTAGAAGAGAGGTCCTCGGATTAAGATCCATCAACCTGTCATACGAAGGAAGATTTATCTCTCAAATGAAAATAGCGTCTTACTATATTTCAGCTTCAAAGTACGAGGTTCCTTAGATGCTTAAGCCCCGACTAGTTAGAGAATTATCCCTGCAATGACGTTCAACAAAAAAACGATTTTGCTTCGGTTGCTGCAAGCTCAATATTTCGCAGAATTACCCTGTGAGGGATGAAATAACAAGGACCATAAATAAATAAGTGGAGCACGTGAAGTTTGGAAGGTCGACAAAGAAGTTTTCTTATTTTGTTTCAAAATCGAGTCTGTTGCAATAAAACTCGGCAGTAACTTGATTTTGCAAAGTCTCTTTTCATTTTCGAGGCAATAAATTTAGGAGTACATTGCAGAATGAATTCTGTCAGGATTGAAACATTTCGTTACAGTCAACAGGAATAACTGTCTTTCAGTAAGGTTATAAACATTTACTCAACTCGAACATGTGTGAATGTAGATGAAAAATGTACACACTCCATTGATTTTTTGTGTTCCGGACGAATCGGTGAAATTCCGGTTGAGTTTGAGTAGAAGCAACAATGTCTCTCGAGAGTATATACAAGGGATTTCAGCGTATACTTTCATGTAGCTGTAAAAAGAGAATATCAAAGGATCGTTAGATAATGCCATTGTAAAAAGCTTTACTCAGAGGTTCTTGGGATTTCCCAAGTGAAACCATTGAAGTGTTGGATAAGATAGTGAATTCCCAATTGCACTTTTGGAGAAAATTGTATTCAGTGTATAAGGCGGTAAATGTTGTAAACTAGCTTCAGTAAATAAAGGTTGCTCAATCTAGAAAATACTGAAGAATTCGTTCCCGAATTGTGAGACAGAAACTGCCTTCATGTCGATTTTTTAAAGGGTGTAAAAGCTATTTTCCGAGTTTTTTGGTCGTAGTCTGCAGATTGTTATGCCTGAAGTTTCGACTACAACTGCAGTTCAGACACTACATAACTGATTTGTTGTCGAATTGGATAACATCATCTTATAACATCACATTTTGACCTAAAAACAGGACTGTAATTGCAAATGCAGAAATTTGGAGAACCACTTAGAAATAGAAAACTGTACGAACGGCAGCAACTCTTCAATTTCACAAAATTTGAACCAAACCGCCTACTGGATTCTATGGAGGACAGAGACATCCACTTGAATGGACCCCAAAACATCATAAATACCATTGATAACTAGGAACATGGATGGAAGGTTTTTTTGGATTTGAAGTCTGAAAAATAGGATTTTTTTCTCTGCCTATGACTGCAAACAGAAACCAGAGATGACCTGGATACAAAAATCAAGAGATGTTAAGTATGGTGCTTACGGTGGTCATTCCAAAAATCTTCTTCGGATAATTCACTAATTTTGAACCATCATCATCTTCATTTACACGTGTTGTCACAGTATTCACATGTGTACTGAGAAGAATATGCGATACATTATATCATCTATATTTAACACAGTTGAAATTAATATAACCAATCTGGGATTTTATTCGTCACAAATTGCCTAGTATCACCATTATTATTTATTTTCACAGTGCATACTTCTTATTCCTTGGCTATGAATTCGTATGAAATTAAAGAGCATGGCAACTCGTAAAACTTTTTATATGAATATTCCGAATAATTATCTTTCAGATCTCTTCTAGATGAGTAGGCTAGTAAATAAGAACACAGAAATCCAAAGGTGTGAGATCAGGTGATCTAGCTGCCCATTCTCGACCCAACACAATGAAAAACGTTAGTCCAAAACAAAAACCAAAAAGATTCAATGCAAAATATTACCAAAATCATCAAAATGTAACGAGTTTTTACAATTTTCACAAACATTTTATCTGAAATATATTTCCGTGTTCCAAATTTTTATGTTTCTATACAATAAACGACGGGAGAGATTTTTATGATTGTTCCATGATGCCATTTTGTATTTTTATCAACGTTTCGCTAATACAAATCATTACTATTTCCGTGAATGAGTAAATCAAGTAGTTTCCTCGGTTTTCAATGTTGTATCAACCTTGTATAACTCCGAATTAGTTAATAGTTCTATGTCTCGAAGGCTACAATTTTTCCAAATTGCTCCTTTACGAAATCAAAATGGTTTAGTGCTCGCATGCTACTAATTACGGCCGCAAGCGTTGGGTTTTATAAAAATCCTTCGTGATCTTTATTAGAGATTGTGTTCCGGATTTTTTTGATTAATTGATGCCTGGAAGAAACCATAATTGTTTTAATTTTGTTTTCATAGCCTCAAAGTACGAAAGTTCGACTTTCTAATACGTCAGAGAGAATCAAAACGAATAATAGGAATTATGTTAAGGTTTCCAAATGAAAACCAGAATTTCATAAAAGATACATTGATTGTGAAACAATGTATCGCTATATAATGAGTCAAAAAAATGGCAAGCACGCCTGATTAAAAAATATTGAATTTGCCTAATGATAATGTGACCTCATTTCACGAAGAAATGTTGTTTCAAATCAAAAATATGTTTTCAATTTCATGAATCGGCGGTTGCTGTATGAAATATCTATAAATCAGTGTTCTTACAAAGAATCATTTTCATAGAATTTTCAGGGTTACATTGAATCAAAATATTCTTCATCGTTTGAAAAAATTAACTCTTATAAACAATAGCATTTGTACTATATAGATAAAATGCAATGTGTGATAATATAAATTTGATAATAGATTCCAAACCATAATATTGAATACAGGTTTGGTTACTGTCCATCAATAATATGAGTATCGTTTTATTCGATTTTGTCAAACCAACACAGATGGAGTTGTAGTGTAAGAATAAAATATATTTCCTACTTCGAATCAGCACTCCTGTTCATTTCCATTTCAAAATATGTGTAGAACAATGAGACAGCAACTCTATTGAATTCAAAATCTAAAATTTCTCTCATGAGCCTAATTGGATGTCGCATATTACGTATCGATAAGCTGGCAATTTATGTCATACTGTCGAACGGTCGTATTTATGTTCTAACGGACAGATTATAATGAAATTGATTTGAATTTACAATATCGGCATTAAAGTAATAATTGACAGCATAAAGCATCCGTAAGAGCATGTTTTATGTCATGTTTATCACATTTTCGCTAACAATGGGCACCGGAAAGGTCAAATCTAATCAATTCTTTGGTTTATGGGTTTGGAAAATATATAAAGTGGATTTACTGGAACTCATTATTGTCATTTCATTATCGAAAAATCAGTAGATACTAATTTACATTTTGGAATCAATTTCTTGTTCAATATTCTTCAGTTTCACTTTTTAGGTTGAATGGAACTACATGCTCCTCCATGGAATATCAAAATTCAAATAGCAACAATCGAATAAATGCACCAAAAGTTCCCTTTGTTTATTTTCATCACGTTGTGGTTTTGACTGATCATTCTGAATGTTAAAATAAATCGTGGATGATTATCCCATTCATATCTTGTATGAAATTTTATGCCATTCATATCTGATCAAAGTTATTCATGAGTCGCGAAAAATAATCACTTCGAAACAGTTGGGGACCTCAGATGGATATCTCGCTGAATGTATCTTTCGTTGTGGCAAATCCATCAGCAATGCATATTTGATTCGTTACGTTTATCGTAACGAGAATCTTCTTTGTGCGTTGTTGTATCATTTCTTAATTTTTTCTGGCGAGGAACAAATAAAAATGTTTGCATCAGTCTGACAGATAGATATTATAAATTTGAACAGAAAATTCACATTGTTAGTCTGCGTGCATTTGAATATTCTGAAAATATTCACAAGAACTACTTAAATATAATTGTGGGACGGAAAATGCCAAGGAATACTGCACACAAACATTTCGAAAGGAAAAAAATCTGAGACTGAAATAAACCTTTTCCTTTCATTCAACATTACTGAATATGAAAACATTATTTGGAGAAATATTTTGAAGATGATTTGGGTAATTACAATTTCTGAAAGATTTTCACAAAAGAAGTTACCAAATGCTGCATGGATTTGGACAGAACTATGACTAATCTATACGAAAAGTGGCATCAACCAATATTTTCCAAATATCAACGATTATTTCATTTATCAAAACTTTATTTCATGATAAAACATTCAATATTCGGCCTATTTTTTCAAATGAAAAACTGTGATTTTTTACGGAAATAACTATGCCTAAAATTGCAAATCAAGTCAAAGATATATCCTCCAATTCAACCACAAGATTCTTCAGAAAAAATAATTAAAAAAACAATCGTTTTAGGTCTATTATGTCATTATGAAAATTTCCTACAATCATAAGTTTCTTCTTATTTTTTTCTGATATCAGTCATTGCTTCAAACAAATATCACGTTTCGACAAAGCTTTTGAATACTCACCAAAATCCGATTTACAGAATTGCTCTTGAGGGTGACTTGGCATACAAGAACAACCCTCTGTATACAAGATAGTACCACAAAACAATGCCAACGTCAGTAGTAACACGCCTGACTTCATAACCTGCAACAAAAATACATAAATTTTGTTGTGTCTACTGTTTCGATAAGTTTGGTGGAGGCAGTAGCGTTGCATATGATTTATTTCATAGGAAAAACCCAGAGAAAATATAATTTAATCAGAAAAGAACAATGATACAAGTGAAAATTTAAATACGTGCTTCATCATCCGAAAAGTCCACAATGTCTGATATTTTGTTAGAATTTGTAGCAATAGAATTGTAAAAAAATGATTAAATTGATAATTGCAACATGTTATGTTCTCAAGCTGTATGCTATCAATATAAATTTTATTTCAAGAAGTCTCCAAAGAAATTCGTAAAACCAACCACCGAAGACGAATTCTCATCACACATCTCGTCAAACAGGTGAATTCTTGGCAGTCAAAACATCGAATTGATGACTCATCCTCCGTACAATCCTGATTTGACACCCAATGACTTCTTCTTTTTTCCGAATATCAAACGTAAATTGAGTGGTTAGCGATTTACGAGCGCCGAAGAAGCAACTGAAGCGTTCAAAAACCTTTCTTGAGACACACCTATGTCTCAAGAAAAATGGAAAAACTGCTACGACATATGGTTTGAACGAATACAAAAGTGTACTGATCATCGGGAGAAATATTTCGAAGAACAATAAAGCAATTTTTATGAAAAAATGTTTGTTATTATTTGCTAATCACGAAATATAATTAGTCCTTCTCGATCTATTTTTGTTCCATTAACCTGATTGAACATGTTTCCACTATATCACTCAATACGTTTATAAAAATCCATCGAGGGCAATTTAACACGTGAGTTGCTTCAACGGGATTTTCTAAGGTTGAACTATGACAATAATCAGCTTGAAATTAGTTTCTCGAGTTCTAAGAAAATAGTCGAATCGATTGGACATGAAATTCTGCAATTATTTCTTATTTCCATTTCAAAATATGTGTAGAACAATGAGACAGCAACTCTATTGAATTCAAAATCTAAAATTTCTCTCATGAGCCTAATTGGATGTCGCATATTACGTATCGATAAGCTGGCAATTTATGTCATACTGTCGAACGGTCGTATTTATGTTCTAACGGACAGATTATAATGAAATTGATTTGAATTTACAATATCGGCATTAAAGTAATAATTGACAGCATAAAGCATCCGTAAGAGCATGTTTTATGTCATGTTTATCACATTTTCGCTAACAATGGGCACCGGAAAGGTCAAATCTAATCAATTCTTTGGTTTATGGGTTTGGAAAATATATAAAGTGGATTTACTGGAACTCATTATTGTCATTTCATTATCGAAAAATCAGTAGATACTAATTTACATTTTGGAATCAATTTCTTGTTCAATATTCTTCAGTTTCACTTTTTAGGTTGAATGGAACTACATGCTCCTCCATGGAATATCAAAATTCAAATAGCAACAATCGAATAAATGCACCAAAAGTTCCCTTTGTTTATTTTCATCACGTTGTGGTTTTGACTGATCATTCTGAATGTTAAAATAAATCGTGGATGATTATCCCATTCATATCTTGTATGAAATTTTATGCCATTCATATCTGATCAAAGTTATTCATGAGTCGCGAAAAATAATCACTTCGAAACAGTTGGGGACCTCAGATGGATATCTCGCTGAATGTATCTTTCGTTGTGGCAAATCCATCAGCAATGCATATTTGATTCGTTACGTTTATCGTAACGAGAATCTTCTTTGTGCGTTGTTGTATCATTTCTTAATTTTTTCTGGCGAGGAACAAATAAAAATGTTTGCATCAGTCTGACAGATAGATATTATAAATTTGAACAGAAAATTCACATTGTTAGTCTGCGTGCATTTGAATATTCTGAAAATATTCACAAGAACTACTTAAATATAATTGTGGGACGGAAAATGCCAAGGAATACTGCACACAAACATTTCGAAAGGAAAAAAATCTGAGACTGAAATAAACCTTTTCCTTTCATTCAACATTACTGAATATGAAAACATTATTTGGAGAAATATTTTGAAGATGATTTGGGTAATTACAATTTCTGAAAGATTTTCACAAAAGAAGTTACCAAATGCTGCATGGATTTGGACAGAACTATGACTAATCTATACGAAAAGTGGCATCAACCAATATTTTCCAAATATCAACGATTATTTCATTTATCAAAACTTTGTTTCATGATAAAACATTCAATATTCGGCCTATTTTTTCAAATGAAAAACTGTGATTTTTTACGGAAATAACTATGCCTAAAATTGCAAATCAAGTCAAAGATATATCCTCCAATTCAACCACAAGATTCTTCAGAAAAAATAATTAAAAAAACAATCGTTTTAGGTCTATTATGTCATTATGAAAATTTCCTACAATCATAAGTTTCTTCTTATTTTTTTCTGATATCAGTCATTGCTTCAAACAAATATCACGTTTCGACAAAGCTTTTGAATACTCACCAAAATCCGATTTACAGAATTGCTCTTGAGGGTGACTTGGCATACAAGAACAACCCTCTGTATACAAGATAGTACCACAAAACAATGCCAACGTCAGTAGTAACACGCCTGACTTCATAACCTGCAACAAAAATACATAAATTTTGTTGTGTCTACTGTTTCGATAAGTTTGGTGGAGGCAGTAGCGTTGCATATGATTTATTTCATAGGAAAAATCCAGAGAAAATATAATTTAATCAGAAAAGAACAATGATACAAGTGAAAATTTATATTCGTGCTTTATCATCCGTAAAGTCCACAGTGTCTGATATTTTGTTAGAATTTGTAGCAATAGAATTGTAAAAAAATGATTAGGTTGAACTATGACAATAATCAGCTTGAAATTAGTTTCTCGAGTTCTAAGAAAATAGTCGAATCGATTGGACATGAAATTCTGCAATTATTTCTATACGTCATGTGTAAAATTAGTTTATGCTGAATACCAATATTTGTTTCCAGATGAAATGAAGAAAAACTTGAAAAGTTTGAGCTGTTTTCCATTTGTAACTATTTCATGACAGATAGTCCGAACTTCACGAGTGTTATAATCATCAGACTTCACTTTTCTATAAATCCACTATTGATAAGGTCATACCTATTCTTAAGAGACCACCTTCATCGATGACACTAAAGATTAAGTAATCCTCTCACATTTGAACCAATTTCTTTGAATCGAAATAGTATTTAAAACTGCCACAGTCCACGTGCAACAAACCATTACAGTGTGACGACTTGAATCCCAATAGTATAGCTAGAAAAGCTCTTACTCTGTCATTAAAACACCGCTCGTGTGATGACAACATTGAATTCCACCTATTTTTAAATATTTGTTTACAAACAATGTCGGGATATCTGTTGAGAATCTCAAAGTCACCTGGCACCTATACAGTTCAAATTGACCGGTCTAAAAATATTTCCAGAAACATTTCAAAGACTCAGAGAGGAATTTGTGACAAATTAAAAAATATTTATATCTCCAAAATTTTATGTATTTCTTCGGAACAATTTTACTGTGCAATAAAACTTTTGGCTACGTACTTTGCGGCAAATGTATGATGCCAGCAGAATTTCATTTAAAAAGAATTGATAAATGAGCAAAGCAATCTCTCGAGCTCTGTTGACAAGGAAGATCATTATTTTAAATGGATTAAGTGAGGTTAGACGCTTGGGAATGTCTCCAAACGAAAATGGGGTGCTCTTTTCCATTCCTTCAGAATTTATGAACTCCTATCGTTGCTCTTGCAGATTTTAATGTTTGATTTGTTGCAGTTTCAAACGAAGACGGAGAATTTGATTTGAATGGTCACAAATTTCATTGAATACCAATTTCTATGAGGGTGAATGTAGTTTTAGGTTCTGATGATGATTATTCATGCTTGAATGACTAGGTAGTTTGAGAACTAGTGAAAAGATGTGATGAAAACATTTCAGAAAAAAACGTATGTATTTTTTTTTATTTCCTAACGTTTCTCCCACTCTTTAAACATCAGACTCAAATGTACTCAAATTTCCGTCTCTTGAGCAAAAACTTCACTTCATGGACAGTTCGAAGTGACAAGGGGCCAAATCTGGACTGTACAGGGGCAGATTACTCCTTACATAGTAAAATTGGGCTTGAGAGTAGTACAAGATTCCAGACAAACGTAAGACAGGATGGAAAAAGATCGAAAACTCAGAAAACTTGATACCTAATGTTCTTGATAGACACTGAGGATTTGAGCTTTGAAGAAATATTTTTCTTGAACACTTCTTAATATATCTTTTCTGCAATTTTTCAGTATTCCAATAATTAGAACAACAAAAAAGTTTAACACAACTCCACGGTAGTTGAGTCCATGATAAAATATGTGTCTTTGCTTCAGTAGCTCAGACTGTTGGAAAGGGTGTCAGGCTAGAATTGCTATTAGGTAGCAGAAAAAGTCGTTACATACGTATTTTCCATATACAAATTGTAATGAAGTCAGATATTCAATGGTTGCTATTAGCTAAAGCACATTTTAAAAAAATGTAGCAACAATTGAAAGGTTTTATTCCAAAGAGCTACCTTCTTCTCAAATTTGTTAATATCTGATAGTTCTCCGTATATTTCTGATTATATATCTACTACAAACTACTCAATCGGTTGTCTATTAACTGGAAAAAATTCACATAGTATATTCTTTCATGTGCTGAGATAAATTCAGATTACAAAAAGGATTGCAACTACATTTGTCTTTCTTAAATGATCTAATTAAAAAGTGTGCAAAACATTTTCAAATCACTTCTCAAAGAGGTCAAAACGTCATCATAAACGAAGTCAATAATAAAGAATATAAACAGCAACGGGTCAAGGATGCTACCTGTCGAGAAACCATTCAATATTTCGTGTGATAATTCGTGTCTATCTGAATGTCTACAGAGAAGCAAGATCGATCATCTGCGAATATTTCTTTTTTTGAATCGGCTGAGGACAGTTGTATATCGAACAGCGATCAATTAATTAAACTACTAGCGAGAGCGAGATAAATCTGCAAAATCTCAACAACCTACAAGAACGGGGCCAAGCAACGCCAATTAAACGAATATACAGGCGCCACAATCTAGTTGTAAAACGGATAAACTGGGGACATAAAAGGAATTGCCAATGGTCTAGCTGGTATTGCAGTTATCCACTATACTTGGATACCGGGTGGCTTTTTATAGCGGTAATTGAACACGCCGATTTCGGTGGATTACCTTGGATTCGTTCGAGTGACTAGCGTTTTGACAAATGGACGATCGACGTATAGGGTGAACCAGTAATAGGAATGAAATATTTTAAATGTGAAGACTTGAGAATAATGTATAACTCAGGCCATCCAAAACAACTAATTAACATATGACAAGTTGGCAATTTATTATCATTTATTATGTAACCAAAGAGGCAAATCAAGGACTATCACTCAAATGAGAAGCTTGGCAGACTGCTGAACACTATTTCTGGCTATTAGCCTTGTTAGTGGACAACACTTGGTTGCCAAAATACAGCTAACAGTCCGTAATTTTCCTCTTTTGGTGTTTTCAATATTTCTGGATCGCAAATAATTTGAAATGATAATCTGCTCTTGTCGACTACCATAAACTAAAAATACATCATCGAAAACCTGTCGCCATACGAAATAATGAAATTAATTAGTTTCTGGTCAGCGATATTAGCTCGGTTCATTTGTTTTAATGGTCGTCCGGCCAGTATTGTTTTAATTGATAACAAGTTCGAATGATAAATGAAACTGCAGTGCAGTGAAATATAAACGGTGGTTAGTTGGCTAATAGTTCGAATGTTAATTTCAATGTGCACTGAAACTAATGGCTATTTTATGTATCAACTACTGTCGGTCTCTGCTGCATAGCAAGAGAAAAGCAGTGGCCAATATTCCACTCCATAGTTGGCTTCCTCAGAAAAAATGCCACTTACTCTTCCCCTTCTGTATATTGCGCGAACGTTGTTCTACCATAAATATTATCATGAAAAGTTCAGTATATGAATTGTAACAAAACATTTTACTACATGAATCAGAATAGCTTCCTTTGCAGAAATACTATACGAGAAATGACAAAAATTAATTTCAATTATGAACCGCCACCAGTTTCAATATAAATCAAGAGTCTATTCATGTAGTAGTAATTTTGTTTGAAATCCCAACCTAGCCCAGAACCCACGCCACTGCCGTATTTCATACTGAAATGAAAAATTGAACACTTGAAAAGGTACTTGACGGATGAGATTTGTATAAAGCAATGTGTGCTTGGCATTCGCGTTTTGATAAGTCTCCTAGTCTCAATGTCAAGACCAGTCTGATCGGGATCGGCTTTTGTTTATCCATCGTGTTCATTTTGATGAAGCTCGACGGCCATTGACAGTTTCAAGGATCCAAATGAATGAAAACTGTAGCAATGAACAGACACCGAGATTTTTTTTGGTTTATCTTTATATGAAATAAAAGTGCATAAGGATGAAGATACGGAGAGATTTCTCACATGGGTATTCAACTACCAGTTTGACGAAGTTGACCTGATCATATTTATGCACATTACTGTTTGATCTTTGTATTAATTATTCGATTTTTTCTCTTTCGTATTTTTCTCTCTTTTAATTTCTATTTCGTGATTTTTTTTCCAAATTTGATGAAGTTTATGCTCTGTTTTTATATCTCTTATAGATAATCGCTATCCAAACTTAGATATAATATGTGTGAGGTTGGTTTTTCTCCATTGCATTGATTTTTTTTCTGGATCACTCTGTTGTTTGAGACTAACTTTCATTTTTTCCTTATTATATCCATTTTCAGCTTTCGACTAATGCTGACCATTTGTTCAAAATCTTTCATATTCTCAAACTACATTTCACCTTCACTAACCTTGGTCTGAGTATTCATTTTCAGTTTATCCTTTAGTATTTTTGATATATTCGTATTTTTAAGTTTCTACTTCCTCATCATGCTTGCGAAATATTCTGAATTTTTTGTTTATACTTCAAATATAGTGTATACTTACCATAAAAATTTGTCTGTGGATCCCACAATGTATCTGTTCTTTCTTAGCAGGTTGACATGCTATTGTTATACCCTCTTCTCACCCATCTTTTCTATTTATATGTTTCATATTACTTCTTTCACTGATCAGACCATTCTTTATCATTTTGGATTCATTTTTTCTAAATTTTTCGGAACTATCTTTATTTGTTGTTTCCTCTTGTCACTCACTTAGTTACTAGTATATGTTGCAGATGATATAACAAATTATTAGACTGCTAACGATGCGATGTAGTATTAGGTTGTGTGAGCAATATTTGAAAGAAGAAATCATTTGGGCTGTTAAAACTTACTGAGGTTTTAGAAGCTGTCTGAATTTCCTCCAGGTGTTCTGTCTTATTGAGAGAGAACCATCGATATTTCTAAATCCGAAGGCTTTAGAAATATCTGAAACGATAGCCCTAGACTTATTGTATTTGTCGATAATCATTAAAAAAAAATGATTGGCATATCAAAATAAGTCTGGAAACCATTCTGATGATCGCTTAAAGTTGATGGAGCACTCCAAAGTTGTCAGAATACACTGACTTAC